TTTACCAAAGTATCACAGACTGGATAACAAACAGGCGCCATGCGGACGTCCGTCCTGCTGTAGCGCCCCAGTTCAGCCTCAATTCAGAGTTACCAACTGGACACAGTGGTAAACTTACGTTACCCATCCAAAGGGTACTCATGGTGGCGCCTGGGAAATCCAGAACGAATCCCTGGAAAGTAGCCTAGCTCCAAATACAAACACGATAGCTAGCATACACCGCACAGCTTCATCGAACTGACTGGAATTACGTCTTTACGTCACTCCTCAAACGACGCTACGTAATTGCGTCAACGGCTCAACTTTGCTGAACTTGTTGGTGGTTAGCAACGTAGACATATAATATAAAACGTTGACATACCTATAGTTGGTCAAGTTTGAGTTTGTTTATTTTTTCGGTTTTAGTATTTATTGTTTATATAAAGTTTGTAATATGGATAAACAGGCTGCCTGAGGTTTATAAGTTTGCAGAGAAAAACAATCCTTAAAGCTATCTGTGTGCATCTAAAATTATGAAATAAATAAATAAAATCTGCTTAAATATAGATGTATATATATATATGTAAAATAAGTATTTCTATGGCTTACCCTCAGGTCATTCATACCGAAGGATAAATAACTTTCAGACTACGTGACTCAGCAACATGGAATAGAATGAAAGGAAAACACTTTATTTATAAGGGAAATTCAAATATTCCTGCCAGTCAGAGTTTTTACATTTGAAGTCATGTATACCAGAAAAAAAATATATAAATAAAAATCATTCTGAATATGTCAGCAGTCAGAGTAAAACCTTATAGTTGGGGGACTAAAGGCCCTTCTGAGTCCTGCAGCCTCAGAGGCGGGCGTTGTTTTTCTCTATTACAGAATAAACTTTTTGCTCTTCTTTTACTCCATCACAGTGTTATAATCTACTTACCACATGACACCAGCTAATGCAGGTCCCTGCCATTTTTTACAGAACTGCACAGTCTCAGCCACCATCTGACAACACGCAACCTGCAAACGTCGGCCGACCTGAATCAGTTCCATCCAGTTATTGGAGACCTCCACAAGGCCCCTGTTCTCCCCGCAAAATAAGTGTAATTATGTGGGGATTTGGTTTAAATGCTGCTGCCTTCCTGAGCATTGCTGCTATATGCACTAACATTTATGACCCATCCCCAGATCTCAGTCCATTAGAGCACCTTTAGGATTTAATATGATGCCAACAAATCTGCTGTAATGTCAATATGGGAAAAAAAACTTTGATTAGTGTTTCCAATGCTTTGTTGAAAGTATGCCAAAATAATCAAAGCAGTTCTGAAGGGGTCCAGCTTTTGGTGTAGCAGAACCAGATTCCTGAAAGACAATTAGAAAACACTGGATCTGGTTGTTCTTTTGTCAAAATAAGCTGTTGATTTGTTGTGTCCACAGTTCTGTCTTCTTCTGTTATTATTCAAAAGTTATTCTCATCTTAGTTACACACAATCATTGTAATTTATCAGTGGCCTCGGTCACACAAGTTACTTACTAGAGTACAAAGTAATAAATGTGGGCTGAATTCAAACTGAAAACTGACTGATGATCAAGCATTTGGATGTTCGTGGATTCAAGTGTCATGCTGCTCTAAGCCATCATGATTATAAATCATGATTATGAAAGAATAACTTAGTCGTGAGGGTGTTTCCTTTTAACCATGAAGGATGCAGGCTAGGTCCATTAAACACACTAAATCCTCAAAATATACAATAATTACACCGCTGTCCAGATAAAGACAGTAAAATATGGAAGAAGTGATGCGGGTAAAGCATTTACAGGTATTCTGTTAATGCTTTCTGATGGATTTCTTTTGCCCGAATGATTCAGGAAGCGATTGGTCACCAGTTCCCTCTGGAAAAGGACAAGCACCTGTTCCTAAAGGACTAATGTTTGAGCTCATTAAAAGAATCCAGGCAGTGTTTGCCATCAGCATCCAGAGAAAGCTGCTCACTAAAATGACCCGAGCAGCTCGCTGTCCTTTGTCTGTTTCACACACATTTCTTCTTTTCAACAAGATCTGAACTATCCTCCTGAGCAGAAACAGGAGGACCAGATCTTCTCTCTTAGTCTCACAAAGCTTTTGAAAGAAGAACAAAAGGATCCATCATGACCAGCTGTATGCAGAGG